ATGATGGATTAAATGGTTTCAATACTATGGTGATTGCAATGCTATGGTGGTTATGATTATACTGTGGTGTTTTTAAATCCTATGAAGGTTTAAATAGATTTTCTTCATGTCTTGGTGGTTGCAATACCGTGGTGGTTATGATAGTATGGTTTCATTACTATGATGGTTATTATGATACTACTGTGATGTTTCAATGTTATGATGGTTTTAATACTATTGTGTAAGTACTGTGATGGTCTTGGTGATGTGGCAGTTTTGATACTATAATTTTTACGAGGAAAAAGTAACGATACTCGCCAATTTTCTTCAAGGTTAATAGGCTTGGGTAGTTCATTGGCCTGTGAGACTCATTAATTTGACAAGGAAAGGGTTACAGACCTATTATGATTGCTGGTTGTAAGAGCTGATTAATTAACTTTTTTTCGACAAATTTGATTTTTTCATCCGGTTCTTTTTTTTCTTCTTTCTCTCTCTTCTCATAGTCTCTTGTCATCTCCCACTCTTCTCATATTCTCTTCTGCCTCCCTCTTCTCGCTTATTCTCTTCTCTCTCTCACCTCTCCTCTCTGTCTGTCTCTGTCTCTCTTCTCTTCTCTCCTTCTCTCCCTCCCACTCCCCCTCCCTCCCCTCTTTCTCCCTCTCCGCATATCGGACAAAAATATTTTACAACGGCCACAGACGTCTCAGGACCTTTAAATCGCCGGGGAAGGTTCAAGGTTACCGACATTCAGCAATTTCTGCATTTCATTGTATAGAGAAAGATCTGCCATTACTGTAGATCCTTGTTCTCCGACTCTCGGCTACTCTGCCCGGGTGGTTTTCCTTCTCTTGCCTTGATTTAAGAGAAAGGAGCCGGGTTGCTTCTTTGGGAAGGCTGGGGAGGATGTCGAAGTTTCACCGCCAGTGGTTGGTGGGAACTTTTGAATCGCGTTGAAGTAGATAGTGCAATGTATGTACATGCGCACATGCACACATACATACACGCACACGCGCGCGCTTACACACACACACACACACACGCACATACACGCACACGCACACGCACGCACACGCACACGCACACGCACGCACACGCACACACACACACACACACACACACACACACACACACACACACACACACACACACACACACACACACACACACACACACACACACACACACACACGGACACAGCCCTCCAGAAGCTTTCCCAATAATGTGTTGAAAGATAGCGGGGACGAGTCAGTCGTACGTCTTAAGGAATGTGAAGTTGTGATTGACAAACCCGAAAGACGGATCAGAAGCGACTACGAATACTGTTGTGTCTGCCCGCGGGAGTCATTCATGGCAGGTTCAGTCGGATAATTTTCTGTTGATTGTATACAATTATCGAAGCAGCACAGGATTTGTGGAAAGGAGTGGTGCACCGACCTCAATGGGTTGCTGGTCCCAGAATAGATATACCCATCCCCCATGATATATATATATGTGGATATCTATCAGTCTGTCTAATCTATCCATCTGTCTATCTATCTGTTTATCTATCTATCTATCTGTCTATGTATACTTAAACACATGATAATGATGAAAGTAATAGATGTTTTAAAATTTACCGAACGACAAAACAAAGAATATGCATTACATACGAGTAGATGTTCATTAAGCCATTAAAATAGTTGAATGACATGGCACCTTCCCTTGTGCCACTTCAAGTCGCTCGTCCCGTTCTGCTCAGCCCGTCCAATTAGGGCCAAGAACCCGTGAACGTTTCTCGTGCGTAGCGCGATCCCTGAATTCGCCGAGATATTTCCCAGGGCATGAAAATCCCTCAGGAAGTGGCTTTGCGGAGTAAGCCAGAGTCACAAATTTCCCAAAGGACACGGAAGGGTAAGGGGAACGCAGCTCCGGTCGACTCCCTCTCCGCTGGTTTGTCGGGACTTTAAGTGGAAAAGAGTAGCTACGCAGTCCCTTGAGTACTTGTCTGGCACACACATACACACACACGCACACGCACACGCACGCACAACATACACGCACACACACGCACACGCACACCACACCACACACGCACACACACACACGCACACACACACACACACACACACACAACACACACACACACACACACACACACACACACACACACACACACACACACACACACACACACACACACACACACACACACGCACACACACACACACACACACACACACACACTAACACAGATATATATATTTTTTCTAACAAGTGTTGTGGGTGCGTGCGTCCGTGCAAGTGCCCACACTATACCTTGTCAGACAAATACAAATATTGACTTTGTAGATTCTACTATTGATATTTGAGGAACAGGGAATTAAAACAGGAAAATAATTTTTTTTGCAGGTCGTGCAGGCCCATGTGTCACATCCCGACGCCCACCTAGAGACACTCGGCCTCGTCGTGGGCGCAGGCGGCGTACTCTCTCCACAGTGTTGTAAGTAAGGCTTACTCTCGTCGGTGTCACGCCCTTTGCCTTGTGTTCTGAGGGTGTTAGTGTCACCTGATTCCTTCTCCAAAGTGGTGTTTTATGGCGCCTTCTCCGCCTCGTGTGTCTTCGTGTTGTTTCTTGTTCTACTTTTTTTTTTGCTTTTTTGTTGTTTTTTCTCTTTTTTTTGTTCCTCAGTTTTTGTTCTTTCTTTCTTTTTTGTTCTTTATTGTTGTTCTGTTTTGTTCTTTATTGTTCTTATTTGGTGTTCATCTTTTTCTTTTGATTTTTTTTCGTCATCGCGCTTTCTTCTTTTACGCTTTCTTCTCGTACTTTTCCTTCTTCGTATCTCCTCTTTCATACCCCCTGTCTTCCTGTGTTCTCTTTCTCTTAATTTTTTTCCTTTCTTCCCTTTCGTGACAATCCGCTCCCTTCCTTCTTTTCCTCTCTTTTAATTCCCTCCCTCTCCCCCCTTCATTGTACCTCTCTCCCTCCTTTTCTTCTTCGTTATATCTTCCTTCCTCCTTCCTTGTAATCTCTTTCATTTTTTCTTTCTCCTTGTAATCCTCTCCCTTTTGCCCTTCTTTGTAATCCCCCTCTATCTCCCTTTTCTTGCAATCTCTTCCCCTCCTCCTCTCTTCCACCCCTCCCTTGTAATCTCTTCCCCTCCTCCTCTCTTCCTCCCCTCCCTGTAACTCTCTCCCTCCCTCACCCGTCTCCGTGTCTTCCTCCCTCTTCATTATAACCCTCTTCTCCCCTCCCCTTCTTTTTAATCCTCCTCCTTCCCTCCCTTTTCTTGTAATCCCCTCCTCCCCCCCCTTACTGTAATCCTCTCCCTACCTCTCCTCCCTTGTACCCTTTCCTCCCCTTCTCTGGCCCGGAATTAGGCAGAGGATTGAAGACGGATAAAAGAATATTAGGATTCCGAACGCAGTGGGATTTGTGGGTTATTATTATTATTTTTTTGATTGGGAATGAGGAATCAGGAATGGGGTTTTCGGGAATAGGAATGGGGTTTTCGGGATTAAGGTTGAATTTTTGGGATTAGGAATGGGTTTTCGGGATTAAGGTTGATTTTTTGGATTAGGATGGGTTTCGGGATTAAGGTTGAATTTTTGGGATTAGGAATGGGTTTTTCGGGATTAAGGATTGAATTTTTGGGATTAGGAAATGGGTTTTCGGGATTAAATTTTTGGTTAGGAATGGGTTTTCGGGATTAAGGTTGAATTTTTTGGGATTAGGAATGGGTTTTCGGGATTAAGGTGATTTTTGGATTAGGAAATGGGTTTCGGGATTAAGGTTGAATTTTTGGGATTAGGAATGGGTTTTCGGGATTAAGGTTGATTTTTTGGATTAGGAATGGGTTTTTCGGATTAAGGTTGAATTTTTTGGGATTAGGAATGGGTTTCGGGATTAAGGTTGAATTTTTGGGATTAGGAATGGGTTTTTCGGGATTAAGATTGAAAATGGGATTAGGAATGTTTTCGGATTAGGAAATGGTTTTCGGAGAATTTTGGGATTAGGAATGGGTTTTCGGGATTAGGTTGAATTTTTGGATTAGGAATGGGTTTTCGGGATTAAGGTTGAAGTTTTTGGGATTAGGAATGGGTTTTCGGGATTAAGGTTGAATTTTTGGGATTAGGAATGGGTTTTCGGGATTAAGGTTGAATTTTTGGGATTAGGAATGGGTTTTCGGGATTAAGGTTGATTTTTTGGGATTAGGAATGGGTTTTCGGGATTAAGGTTGAATTTTTGGGATTAGGAATGGGTTTTCGATTTTTGGGATTAGGAATGGGTTTTCGGATTAAGGTTGAATTTTTGGGATTAGGAATGGGTTTTCGGGATTAAGGTTGAATTTTGGGATTAGGAATGGTTTTCGGGATTAAGGTTGAATTTTTTGGGATTAGGAATGGGTTTTCGGGATTAAGGTTGAATTTTTGGGATTAGGAATTTTTTGGATTAAGGTTGAATTTTGGATTAGGAATGGGTTTTCGGGATTAAGGTGAAATTTTTGGATTAGGAATGGGTTTTCGGGATTAAGGTTGAATTTTTGGGATTAGGAATGGGTTTTCGGGATTAAGGTTGAATTTTTGGGATTAGGAATGGGTTTTCGGGATTAAGGTTGAATTTTTGGGATTAGGGTTTCGGGATTAAGGTTGGAATTTTTGGATTAGGAATGGGTTTTTCGGGATTTTGAAATTTGGGATTTGGGTTTTCGGATTAAGGTTGGGATTAGAATGGGTTTTCGGATTAAGATTGAAATTTTTGGATTAGGAAATGGGTTTTCGGGATTAATTGAATTTTTGGGATTAGGAATGGGTTTTCGGGATTAAGGTTGAATTTTTGGGATTAGGAATGGGTTTTCGGGATTAAGGTTGAATTTTTGGGATTAGGAATGGGTTTTCGGGATTAAGGTTGATTTTTTGGGATTAGGAATGGGTTTTCGGGATTAAGGTTGAATTTTTGGGATTAGGAATGGGGTTTTCAGGATTAGGGGCGGATTTTCGGAATTGGGAATGGGGTTTTCGGGATTAGGGATATTTTTCGGGATTAGGGATGGAGTTTTCGGGATTAGGAATTGGGTTTTCGGGAATGGGAATGGAGTTTTCGCAATTAGGACTTATTTTTTCGCAATTAGGAGAGGGGTTTTCAGGATTAGAATGGAATTTTCGGGAATTGGAATGGATATTTCTCAGTTAGGATTTTTTTTCGCCATGAGGAGTTTTCAGGATTAGAATGGAATTATCGGGAATGGGAAGGGATTTTTCGCAATAAGGAACGGAATTTCTTGGACTAGGAGAGGAGTTTTCGAAATAAGAAATGGAGTTCTAGGCCTATGATTCGCAATGAAGGAATTAGGAATTGTATAGATTAGGATTAGGAATGGGATATGCGGTGGCGAGAATGGGTTTTATAAGCGGAATAACGGAAGGAATTTGTAGGATAAGTAAATGTGATTTTTTTTTATTTTTTATTTTTTTTTTATTTTTTTATTTTTTTTATTATTATTTTTTTTTAGGTCTGGGGTAAAAAAAAAAAAAAAAAAAAAAAAAAAGAAAGAAAAAAAAAAAAAAAAAACGTGTATTGCAGAGTACGTAGGTAATGCGGTCAGGTCCGGCGAGAGACAGCGACTTTATCTCCCTGGTAAACCTCAAGCCACAGTTCCTGTATCATTTTTAGGACTGCCTCTGTATTTTATTTCAGAGTCTCTGGGTCGTTGTATAAGTGTGGGAATTGTTAGAGTGTTGTTGTTTGTATTCGTGTTTTCTTTTGTAATTTATATTAGTGTTGGTATTTGTTGGTTGAGGTGTTCGACTGTATAATGAATATTTGGGGATAGACTTTCTCTGTTTGTCTGTCTGTCTGTCTGTCTGTCTGTCTGTCTCTCTGTCTGTCTCTCTGTCTGTCTCTCTGTCTGTCTCTCTCTCTCTCTCTCTCTCTCTCTCTCTCTCTCTCTCTCTCTCTCTCTCTCTCTCCTCTCTCTCTCTCTCTCTCTCTCTCTCTCTTCTCTTCTCTTTTCTCTCTCCTTTTTCTCTCTGCTCTCTTTTTTTTCTCTCTCTTTTTTTCTCTCTCTCTCTCTCTCTTCTCTCTCTCTCTCTCTCTCTCTCTCTCTTCTCTCTCTTCGTGATTTCTCTCTCTCTCTCTCTCTCTCTCTCTCTCTCTCTCTCTCTCTCTCTCTCTCTCTCTCTCTCTCTCTCTCTCTCTCTCTCTCTCCTCTCTCTCTCTCTCTCTCCTCTCTCACTCTCTCTCTGTCTTCCTTCTCTCTCATCTCCCTCTCTTTCTCTCCTCTGGTTTCTCTCTCTCTCTCTCTTTGTCGATAGATTTAAAAGGATTGTCGATTGATGTAAAATAGTTGTCGGTAGATGTAAAATGACTGATGATAGATGTATAATGATTGTTGATAGATGTAAAAATGATTGAAGATGTAAAGTAGGATAATGTAAAGAAATAGTCGATAGATGTAAAGTGTTTAGAAGTATTAATTGTTTAGAAGACTTTCTGAATACCGGACGACGGCGGGAAGGAGGATGGGGACGGGAGTAGATGTGGAAGAGAAGTAAAGGTAATGGGAGGGATGGATGGAGGATGGGGAGAGTGAGGGAGAGGGAGAGTGAGGGAGAGGGGGAGTAAGGGAGGAGGAGGGATGGGTGGAATAGCGGGTAAGGGAAGGTGGAAGAGCGGGGTAGAGGTATGTGGAAGATTTTGAGTGGCGTGTGGGAAAGTGGAGGGTAGGAAGTGGTGGAAGAAAGGGATAGAGGTATTCAAGAGATGGAGCTAGAATGAGTGGGAAGGAGGGGAGGGTGGGTGGAAGGTGCTGGTAAGTGAGGATGAAAGAGAGGTCAGGCGTGGATAGAAGAGAGTGAGGGGGGATGAGAGGAAGGGAGAGTTGAACAAGTGGAAGAAGAGGGGGTTAGGAGTAGGTGGAAGAGAATGGAAGGAAACGGGGATCATGTTGGAGTTTGGGGAAAAAAACCCGACTTCATTTGGACATAAAGACGGGCGGAAATATACGAAATTATCCACGTAAAATACTTCTCGTCCACACAATCCACCTTTTTCGCGTCAGAGGAACAAACAGGTGTGAGGGAACCGCTGCTGTTACGTAATGGAGAAGGGAATCCCCCCGGGCGGCCTACAGGACCCCCCTCCCTCCTCCTCCTCCTCCTCTTTCCTCCTCTCCTCTCTCTCCCTCCTGCTGCTGTTGCTCCTCCTCCTCCTATCCTGTCCTCCTCCTCACCTTGTCTCCTTTTCTTCTCTTCTCTCCTCTCCTCGTCTCCTTTCTTCTTCTTCCTTCCTCCTCCTCCTCCTCCTCCTCCTCCTCCTTCTTCTCTTCTTCTTTCTTCTTCTTCTTCTTCTTCCTTTCTTCTTCTTCTTCTTCTTCTTCTCCTCTCCTCCTCCTCAGTCCTCGTCCTCGTCCTCGTCCTCTACTCCGTATCTCCTCTCCTCCTTCTCTCCTTCATCTCCTTTTCTTCTCTCCCTCTCCCCCTTATCTCCTCCTCCTCCTCTCCCCCTCCTCCTCTCTTCCCCCTCTTCCCGCCGCCCCCCCCCCT